GAACGTGTCATTAGTATTATAAATATTTACCGAGTTATTAAGCTTGCACGCGCGGATACGAAGACAGAAATTATAGCTCTTGACGATATTGTATTTAATTTTCTATTCATTGCATCGAAACTATATCCGCATTTTACTGTGTACTTCCACGTGGCAATAATATCGTGTTTTTTCTCCCCGAGAACGAAGTCAATTTCGCGCAAACAATGTTATTTAATTTGATATGAAGGGCAAAATAATCGAATATACACAACAGGTTATTAGATGTATAAAGAGCGATATAATTATAAATAACATAAATTTTTCATTTCAATCAGACAATTTCCTGACGTCGATAGTTTAATTATTTTATTATTGATTTAAAAACAGAGAATTATCGGATCGGAACGCGGAAAATAGTGTGTTCCACTATTTTCTTCGCATAATACGATTATGTGACGTTTAGAGCGCAAGGTTTAGAGTGACAGACTGGCTAAACCAGATCCGCCAGCTTTATCGAAATCCGTGCGTTGACTAGAAAGTGCCCTGGATCGATCGGCTCCTCCATCTACTTTCTTGAATAAACAAATGATGTCGCAATCCAAACAAGATGTCCTGCGAGTATATTTCTTTCCGAGATGCGTTTAATTGCGTAGTTATTTCGAAGAAAAGTCGAATATTTGCCAAAGTGCGAATTTATTACGCCTTAAGATTAATTGATATGTATGTTCCTTTCATTTTTAATGATTATTTAGCAACGAAAGAATTAAATCATGCACTTGTTAGTCTTTAACGTGTACATTATTATTCTTTTATATCTCTAGAATGATAATAATATCGATGATAAATTAATATATATTGAGATATTAATATTAATATTAATATAATATAAATATATAATATTAATATTAATATATAACATTAATATATAATGTTAATATAATATTAATATAAATAAATCGTTGTTTATATAGATAAATTTAAAATGCAATTTTTACTCATTAACTACATTAAATCTCTTCCGCGGAGAATCTTTTATTTTCTATTGAATGTTTTCTTCAAACGATTTATGATAGCTGCGAGCACTTACAGCAGACCTACCTATCATCTATCGAGTGAAGGGTCATCTCTTATCTTCATCTGTAACCGTTCGCGCTGCCATAACTTTTCCTAATAGTAACAGTATCTAACTGATCGCAGTGCATAGATGCAATGAACGTACGTACATGCACGATGATGGAACTTTAATTTTGTTCTTTTTATCGTTTTTTTTTCCCCTCAGCAAATCGATGAAGAAAAGGAAGCCATTTTACGCGGAGTAAAACCTCGAATAAATCTGATTTACAGCATTCATGAAAATAAACTTTTTTATATAAGCAGACTATTAATCAGTTAAATATAATATAACTAAATTAATATAATATAATATAATTGCGCATAGTCATTAATAGTTACTTAATTAAAATGTATTGCAACGTTATTAAATTCTAGTCTTATTTACTGACTTTAACATTATTGTATAATATTAGCTCCTCAAGCCCGATTACTGTTTAATTTAATATAATATAATATTAAATATAATATTTCGATAGAAAGAGAAGGAACCAAATGAAGGGAGAAAGAGATGTGTAACAATTTTTACGAGGTAGGGCTCGATCTCATCACGGTAATAGTAAATTGAATTCGACGTCAATGACGAGTTGCTCGTCTTCGAGGTAGCCGAAAGCAAATAAACATCCACTCGACGTAATCTTTTCGAAGGCTCGGCGGGTCGAGTGGCAGGCACCTACCTTGCGAGAATTCGAGCATGCTTCATCGAACATTGTATCCATTATATGTTTTTGTGTCTGTCCCCCTCCCTCCTCTTCCTCTTTACCCGTGACTCCCGCGAGACTTGCATTGTCGTCCCGAGGTGGTCCTTTTTCATCGTCCCTTCTTCTTCCTTTTCCCCGTACATAAGTATAAGTTTACGTTTGGAAACCACGAGGCCGCAAGGCCTCGCGGTATTCATCCCAACATCGGCATACCTTTTTCTGCTGCACGAACGAGTCTAGTCGCGCGTGGCGAACGATGGATCTCGGAATAAAGTATGTACTCTGCCTCGGAGCCGTTTTTGCCCAACATTTTTCTGAGCGAGTCACTCGAGCTCTCTCGACATCGGACATATCGATTTAATTCAAGTATCACGGTCGGTCCTCTAGACAAATTTTCAAATTTATTATGGGGGGAAAAATATGATTGCGAGGAATAAACCTGTAGAAAACACGGAAATGAAAATTCCCATGAATACAAGGACTCCCTTTTGTCAATAAAAAATTTACAGAATTACGTAAGAACATACGCGGGATATTTTGTACCTGCTTCCCTGAGCGGAACGTCTTCTTCGAGAGGTCTCGCGAGAAGACGCAGGATACAGCGTGCCTTCGGCTTTGAGAGCGAGATAGGAGTACAGTTATCCATAAAAGTAGAGCATGCGTACGTTGGCTCTAGAACGGCAGGTGGCTGCCGGTGAATAAAGAGAGAAGAAGCAAAAGAACGCGAGCCGTCATCCATCGGGACAGCGCGAGAGAGTCCTCGTTCACTCGGAAATGATTGAATCATTGAACTGATCATTGCTCATTATACATGTAATAATCCATGAGAGACATGTCAATTCGCTATCAATGCGCTCTTTTTGCCTTATCGCAAAAAGGCTACATTTGCACAGCAACTTCTTTCTTTTTCAAAATTATATGGACTGTTTATAAGAACGGAAAAAATTCTTTTTCATTAAAGGAAATTGTGCATATTTTTGTTAATGCCCGCATTTTCAAAAATTTACCGCAATTGGGTGAAAATTGTTGCTTTTCTAAAAATAAATATGATTAAATAATTAAATATATTCTATAAGATATATAAAGGATAGCGGGACGGGAATGTATAAACGAAATACCACGAGGCAAATGTTTTAAATTGAATTAATTAGTTATTCATATTTTATACACAATAGTAATCATAATTAAGGTGTTTTAGTTCCTCGTAATATTCTATATCCGTACAAGGGTACTCGGTAAAATCGATAAATTGGGGGTCTGCCGTGTTATATTCTATATGTATATAGACGATTTTCTAGGCCTCTCTTGTTTCTTCTGTATCTCTCGCTCTCGTCTCATTTCTCTTTACATTCTTATCACAATATCGTATTTTACACAGATTCACTTACGGCTTACATGCTAGAGGGCCCCGGTGCAATATTTACAGATGTTCGGTGTTCGATCTGTCGGCCTCGCCGAGTCCGATCGATCTCCGATGGTTTGCACCGAGACTAGTAACGCTAGTAAATTCTATGGACTCTTTTTATACTGTTTACCATTCTCTCTCTCTTTCTCGTCCTCTCGCTCTCTCTCTTTTTAACGAGAGAATCGTGTTAAGTTCGCCTTTCATTCTCGCACGCGGCGCTGATCATAATCCGCGTATTCGATAAAAAGCGTGGAAAAAGTGAACCGCAACTACGTTTATACGACTGGTTTCGCAGACTTGCTCATCGCAGAAACTGTTCGATAAACTTTTGCGTCGCAGAAATTAATTTTAGAGTTTCCTGGAAATTATATAAAAATTCACAAAGAGATACCAGGTCTTTATACATCATTCTCTTTTTTCAAATTTTGAAAAAATGTTGCTCGAACCGAAACTTATCCAAAAGACTCAATATGATATAAAGATATATTTTTCTAACAAACGCAAGCTTTCCAGAAAATTCAATGACAACAACGTATGCGTCATCACTTGGACCACGCTCACAATTTACGCTGTTTTCCGCATTTCCGGCTTTACACGCAATTTAGGAACTGAGGGGAGCTTCGTCTTAAATTATACACGCATACACCTTCTTATTGCACCGAATCAAAACGCAAGAACCCATCCGAGAAGGCCATCTCGTGCCTCCTAGTTCTCCGCAGCGCGGCTTGCGGTTAAATCTAACGGCACTTATTATTATATACGGGAGAGAATCGCCGCGTCTCTCATCGTCATCGTCACCGTCGCCGTCGTCGTCGTTGCCGGTGCATCCTTCGCGTGCACCGGCATCATCCCGACGACGACGACGACGCGATGCACGTCACGATGGATAGGAATTCAGCGTCGCCCCGGCGCAGCGACATCGATCCCCGGAACGTAGCCTACCTTCCAGCCCGCCTTTTCTCTCTCTCTCTCTCTTTCTCTTTCTCTCTCTCTCTCTCTCTCGACCCGCGGAACCTTTACGCGGGCTACGTAATCGCGTGGCATTCAACAGCACAAGCGCGGTCGACACGAGCGGAAGGGCATAAAACTAGTTTTGTACTGTTCTCTTTGTGCACCGTGGGGTAAGCCCGGCAGCCTAGTCCGCCTCGAGTTTCCGCGACGCGCGGCGTCGATTCTCAAGGGAAATTTATTTATTAGGGTGCGTTACATATACGTGAGATCTCGCGTATACACCGTCGATTCTATTGACACGCGGCAACGCATGGTTTCTGGTTTAACGAAGGAATACACTCGATACACAGTTATTTCATCCGCAATTCGTTGTAGACACGTGATTGTACCTCTATATGAATCTGCAACACGAATTTGTATACTGCCGTCTCGTATCTGGATTCCTCTCGTCCAGTCTCGAGAATTCGATGCAACTTTGGATCATGCAAATAGTACTAATTTACGGGTTGCACTTACGTAATGTACTTGCGCGGGACATTATCGCGTTCGATCAAATTCCGGTCGGAGATAACGTATGCATAAGAAATGTCACGTTGTGATAAAGCGTCTATAGAATGAAAGTTTTTAGGCTGAAATTTTGAATCCATTAGGAGAGGTTTAGAAGATATGTATAAACTTTCCAGATCTTGCGTGGGTATAAACTTTGTTTGTGCGAAACCAAGACTCGGCGCGTTTCAGCGCGCATCGCGACATGTGCCGAACGGTACCGTCAATCAGAGCGAAGGAAAAGGCAGAATCAGGAAGGAAAGGGACCGTGTGGGACCACGCGTTCTCATGAGACGACCATTGTTGCACCGACAAGACAGTGGATCTAGGTCAGCGGTGGGGCCCGCCGACCCTCCCAGTTTCCCGCGGTTGCAAGCCACAGCCGTCGTTTTTGCGGTTTGGCATCGCCTCTTGGAAAGCTAGATATTGCACGACGCAAGATGGCAAGGGTGACCCAATATGGCTGACGGAGGACGACGAAGAAGAAACAGCGCAAAACAGACCGCCGCATTATTCGCCCGCAGCTCGACAGGTCGCGCATTCGGATGCCCAGTTTTCAATTCGAGCATAGATCGCAATCCGATAATGGAAGAAAAAAGAGAAGCAGCAAACCATTCCTTTTCATTCTTGTGAGATTTCTTAATTTGTAAAATTTACATTAAACAAAATCATACTCCTCGTGTAAATAAGATTAAATAAATAAATATTTTTGAAATTAGCTACTTTTAAAATAAGAATTCTCGGTTCGTTATGGTAAAATATTGCAACTAAAAAAATCTAACAAATCGCGCATTAAATTGAGTTACAAAAGAAATCACAATCTAGGCAACTAATCGAAAATTCAAGCAACGTCTTCTTTATATATTTTCCAAAGTTCTTAATGAATTCGGCAACTCGCTAGCCGAGATAACGATTTTTCTTCCAACTCAACCCCCAACGTCCGTTCATCTCTCGCGCGCTTCTTTCCTCGAAGGAGGAGGCCGCGGCCGGTTGCCTCATCCGGGAAGAAGGGACCGGTGATTATAGCGAGCCACCGTGATTGCCGAGATCGTTTGACTCACGAAAATGTCATTAGGATTTCATTACTTCCAACTGCCTTGAGGAACGACTGCTCAACGAGTTTATGCAACATTGTCTCTCTTTTTCCTCCGCTTCTCTCCCTCCCCCTACCTCATCCCACGTTTATCTTCTCTCAAAGAAGTTCTGCCAATCTTGCCGTTCCTCTCCATCTCTACCGCGCGAAATACGGCACGAAGTAGGTCGGTTGCGCTCTCGGTTGTTGGGCAACTGTCACAAAGGATCGATCCGCCTAACGTCATCGGCAATTGACATTTACGATGAGACAGAAATTGGTCTTTAGAGATGCACGATCGTGCTAGATTCAGAAAAGTGACGAAAATCGCGTGTTGATCGAGCCGTATAAAAAGATTGCTCGATTTGATCCTGCTATTTGACAGGATTTGTTCTGGAAATAAATGTAATTACCAGAAGCCAGCACCGGTGTAGAATTTCAAATTTGACTCGCGTATTCGTATTTTCATCGTGGATGTCATATTTATTGCCATCATATTATCGTTTTTCGATAACCATCGAGATTCGTCAAAATTAAGAATAAGAAGTTGAACGAGTTTAAATACTTTATCATATCTGACAACTAAGTTTAAGAAAGCAATTTTTAATAATGCTAATAAAAAATCTGCAACTCAATATTTAAAATGTTGAAATATTAAATCGAAATGTTAAATTAGAAATTATTTCATTTTGACAAATGAAAGATAAAGGAAATATCTTTCTACAGATTGCAGATTTAAGACTTCTGACATATATAAATACAATTATTTAACATCTAATTGTGTTTCACGTGATTCGATTAGTTTTGGTAATTGCAGCGGTAACGTCGACTCAATATGTTTTCATAGAAAATAATTGTATCGCGTAACTCTTGTGGTTTAATTAACAATTAATTGTAGCAATTAAAACCGGTACGCAATTTCACGCAATTGACAAACATTATGGACAACATTTTCACAATGGAAACAATTACTTGGAGACAATCTTTGCTTATAATTAACCGTAGCAATCAAATTAGATCCGATGCACGTAATTGCGATGGTCGACACGAACAGACATATAGAAGCCATTTTACTTTCCCAGGAAAAAGATTTCTCGCGACTTTTATATTTTTTTGCGACAACGATTACTTGTCAAACACGAAAAGCGTTACAGTCGTGATAATCACTCAATTATACGCGAAGCGTTACAAGTACCCTCCAAACTCGTAAATCGGACATCGAGATCATCAAACGAAAACGACGTCATTCGTCGGAGCCAATTTTCGGCAATTTTATGTCATAAACCATTGCTATCGACATTATATATTATCACCCATTTTATATATTTACTTCACCATACAACGTCGCTCCTTTCTTCTTCCAACCAACACTGAATCCATGCCGGGAAAACAACGTCTCGTTTTTCTTTCCAACGGAACAGCGCGCACCGAAACAATGTCACTTATCAGTCAAAAGCCATGCACACGATGCACACGAACCGTTCATGATTTGCTCCATTGACATCTCTAGTCCACGTTGGCTGGAAATTCGGTCCTCTTCGTTAGCTTAGAAGTGTCTCGTCGGAAACATTCTTTGACAGCGCGCCATTGTCGGTCTAAGACCGGCATTTGTGGTTGCACATATTACTCATCTCATTAATATTATTATTATTAATATTTCGCTAAAGGGCGCGTACGTGCGTGTCACACACCATGCCGCACTGTTCGTACTGTTCTCACTTTGACGGACGGCCCGCACGGATACCGGCATGCGGATTTTGTTAGACAATTAGAAACAATATTAACATTCAATTTTTCCTCACGAGAGGCGCTACACATATTCACACTTTGGGGCGAGACCGCTGGAGCACGTCCACGGTGCCACGAAGAGGTGTTTCACCTGAACTCAGTTCGAGGGTCGTCTTCGTTAAACCGCTGGCCATACCCTGTAAAACGCACAGATGATCGTTTCGTTAGGGAGGATTGAAGCATGAGATATTTCGCGAAATTTTCAAAGATTCAATTATTGTATCCATCCAACTTCTTTATCAAATTGATATTTATCGCCCATGAATAAAAATTTAATTATGAATGTTTCAATAATTGATTTCAAGTCAGGTGTATTAAAGAGAAATATATCATGTCTTTTGGTATAAATCTACAGATAGACATTTATCTCGTTTTTTCTTTCTCTGCTTTAAAAAATATATTTTTTATGCCTGTGCTACCACATACACACTTCACGTCGATTCTCGCCGTTATTATATTATTAAAAAGATATGCGGTAACTTTGAAGCTTCCGGAATCACAGTGCGATGAATATTACGGCAAGGTAAGTAAGGTAAATTTGTCGTGTCATGTTGGTTCTTGGTGAATAGAAGAAACATCTAGCGTGTCCCAAGGGGACATGTGACTGGCAGTACCAGTTTGCATTGAGGTGCGCTGATTGACGCGTCGCATTTTAATTTCAAATTGAAAATGTCTATTATCGAAATACTATTCAACACTGCTCGCATAAAAATCATCGATACCGAGTTATAGCGACTATACGGATAAAGCTTTTATTAAATATAGACATTTAGGAAATGCTGTTTACTCATTACACGTCATAAATTCAACAGATTGCTTCTATAGAGCACAACAATATTCATTTATCTCATATAACTATCTTTATCTTCTAAAATAAATTTATTATTATAAAGACAAAGTGTCTTATTGAGTATCTTAATTAATTTATTTTTATGCGTATTTTGTATATTAAAATATCCAAAGCCAATATTTCTTTATAATGATTTAATTTCAATATTTCTCTTTAATTTCTCAAATCGCATTCAATTTATCTTCAAATAACCACTTTTAGAGATGTAATAATATCGTCAGCTTCTAAAGGATGCATTAAACCTCCATCGATATCGATCTGTTCGCGATTTGAAAAAGCGACGACTTTAGGAAATGCTGTTTACTCATTACACGTCATAAATTCAACAGATTGCTTCTATAGAGCACGACAATATTCATTTATCTCATATAACTATCTTTATCTTGTAAAATAAATTTATTATTATAAAGACAAAGTGTCTTATTGAGTATCTTAATTAATTTATTTTTATGCGTATTTTGGATATTAAAATATCCAAAGCCAATATTTCTTTATAATGATTTAATTTCAATATTTCTCTTTAATTTCTCAAATCGCATTCAATTTATCTTCAAAGAAAACTACCACTTTTAGAAATGTAATAATATCGTCTGCTTCTAAAGGATGCATCAAACCTCCATCGATATCGATCTGTTCGCGATTTGAAAAAGCGATGACTTTAGGAAATGCTGTTTACTCATTACACGTCATAAATTCAACAGATTGCTTCTATAGAGCACGACAATATTCATTTATCTCATATAACTATCTTTATCTTCTAAAATAAATTTATTATTATAAAGACAAAGTGTCTTATTGAGTATCTTAATTTATTTTTATGCGTATTTTGGATATTAAAATATCCAAAGCCAATATTTCTTTATAATGATTTAATTTCAATATTTCTCTTTAATTTCTCAAATCGCATTCAATTTATCTTCAAAGAAAACTACCACTTTTAGAAATGTAATAATATCGTCTGCTTCTAAAGGATGCATCAAACCTCCATCGATATCGATCTGTTCGCGATTTGAAAAAGCGATGACTTTAGGAAATGTTGTTTACTCAATACACGTCATAAATTCAACAGATTGCTTCTATAGAGCACGACAATATTCATTTATCTCATATAACTATCTTTATCTTCTAAAATAAATTTATTATTATAAAGACAAAGTGTCTTATTGAGTATCTTAATTTATTTTTATGCGTATTTTGGATATTAAAATATCCAAAGCCAATATTTCTTTATAATTATTTAATTTCAATATTTCTCTTTAATTTCTCAAATCGCATTCAATTTATTTTCAAAGAAAACTACCACTTTTAGAGATGTAATAATATCATCAGCTTCTAAAGGATGCATCAAACCTCTATCGATATCGATCTGTTCGCGATTTGAAAAAGCGGCGACTTTAAGAAATGCTGTTTACACGTCATAAATTCAACAGATTACTTCTATAGAGCACAACAATATTCATTTATCTCATATAACTATCTTTATCTTCTAAAATAGATTTATTATTATAAAGACAAAGTGTCTTATTAAGTATCTTAATTAATTTATTTTTATGCGTATTTTGGATATTAAAATATCCAAAGCCAATATTTCTTTATAAATATTTAATTTCAATATTTCTCTTTAATTTCTCAAATCGTATTCAATTTATCTTCAAAGAAAACTACCACTTTTAGAGATGTAATAATATCGTCAGCTTCTAAAGGATGCATCAAACCTCCATCGATATCGATCTGTTCGCGATTTGAAAAAGCGGCGACTTACGTGAGTAGCCCGGGATTGGGGTCCGCCTGATACCAGGAGTACTGCGGCATGTAGCCTGCGTGATGTGGCGGCGGTGGCGGTGGCGGTGGATGATGCCCGGGCGTGTGCGGGTGATGATGGGTGTGGGGCGGCGCGTGCGGATGCGGATGGTGCTTCATCTCGCCCGGCCAGGACGGCGCCGGCGGGCTCTCGTTGTGCTGAGGCGACATCTCGCTTCCGGGGCTCGAGCTGCCGGGGGTGTGACCGCCGCCCCCGCCACCCATGCCACCCAAGTAACCCGTCGTCGGGCTGCCCGACACGGAACTTCCGCCTCCTGCAACACAAACGCGAACCGGGGGAGCCCCGTTTTCAGGCCCGCTCGCAGATTCTCTCGCGAGTCTCTCGCCTCTGTCGCATTCAAGTCGCGCCCTTGCACGTGCAGCTGTGCGCGCCTTCAATGGGACCAGCGTTGTAAATTGTATTAATAGCGCGAGGGATGCATTGTGCGCTAATGCATCTGGTAGCTGTCACGAGACGGGAAAGAGTTTCCACGATGGTTGCGCGATTGCCTCGATTCCGCGGGCTAGCTAAGTTGGGGTCTGTTCCAAGAGAGAATGCAAGGTGTACGTGCATAGTTCATCCCTGACTGTGTATACGTCACGCTTCCGTGACATTCCGCCGTTTAGAAACGCTCTGATTTTTATCCTTTTCCCGAAACTTTGTTACCTTGATGCTATTCTTAAGCACGAAACGGTTGAAGCTTTGTACTCATTAGTGTAAGTAATGAAGTACATTATAAAGTACACGCATTCACCTGTACGCTTAAATTGTTGCGACGTTTATTTCAAGAAAAATATTAGCGTAAGACTAATTTAATACATTAACTTTATATAAAAACCGCTTAACAATCTGTAACAATCTATCGATCCAAAATGCAACGAAATGAATCATCAGGTGCAATAAAAATAATTAAAAAATACAAACATATGATACGTAGAATTTCTTTTATATAAATAAAATAATAAGAAAATAAAATAATAAATATAATAGAATAATAAAATTTTTTTATATAAATAAAATAATCTCTCAATATATGTGCGTGTGTATGTGCAAAAAGATAGAATTTATACCGTCGACCTAAATCACAGAATGAAGTATAATGACACGCATTGGGAAGTGCATAACAAATTTCGCTATGTCGAATGTACTTCTGGCAGGAGAAATTTCTCAAGATGGGGTTAATTACGGTGATTGCCTCTTTCGTAGAGCGCATTTCTGAATAAATCACTCATGAGGTAAATTTAGATTACCCGTTAGCCGCAGAAAGAGACAACCGGGCGGTAGCGAAATATCGCGCGATAGTAAACGCAGCTCGCGAAAATTGCATCGGATTATTAGTATTGTAATTACGAAAGAAGAGAGGCACATTCGCGCGCAGATTGCGACGATGATGCGATAATAAGTGATGGAGTAGCCCTCCCTCCTCCCCTCGTCAACCGTGCAATCATCGCACACGTTTATACCGGTGACATTCAATTAACATCCGTGAACGTTTGCTCGATTAAAGATGCATAAGCGATCGCGATCGCGGAAATGGATCGATCGATCGGGAAAGCGATTTGATCGATCAGCTGCACGCTCTTCCGAAACGTCAATTAAGTGCACGATAAGAGATTTTTTTATTATTTTTCTAGATTTTAATCTACATCGTTGCATTCTATTTATGTAATTATAAAGCGACTCACCACCTTGCATGAGACTTCCGGGTTGACCAGGTTGAGGGGATGGTCCTCCGGGTAGAGCGGTGCCACCGGCTAGAAGGCTGCCATGCTGGCCACCACCGCCACCCCCGCCCTGCTGCGCTGCCTTCATCATTTTCTTGTACTTACTCCTTCTGTTTTGGAACCAGATTTTCACCTGCAAGCGGAAATCAAGATCTTTGAAATAGGATGTTCAAGAAAAAAAATGAAGATAAAATTCAGAAATCTTTATAATCTTATAAGAGGATTGATTTAAAATACTAACAGAAATAAATATACGTAAGTAGCCTTGTCAATATTATGATGGAGTTGTTTCTGATTTTATCATAATGAAAATAACTTTGTCTTCCAATCTTCCAAGATATTGAAAAGAATAAATGGCGAGAATGAAAAATATAAAAGAAGAACTCTCTGGGGGCAAAAAATAGTGATTAGACAGAAAAATGTTATTAGACAGAATATACTATAAATAAATTATTACATTATGTTGAATACCTATTAACATATATTAGCATTCAATATTTCAAGATTATTTTTTAAAGATTGTTATCGCCTATATGCATACATTTGCATAATAAAACGACAATTAATTTATAAAAAACTAGACTCTTGCGTATTAAAAATTTATATGTTAAACATTTATAACTCTAGAATTAAGTAAATAGAAAACATGTATCAGAATAGAAAACATGTATCAGAATAAAAAAACACGTCTTTAATTAACATAATTTTAACGAAATGTCTCGTTTCTTACATGATAAATTTTATATAATATTTATAAATCATTTTTTGAACATATAGTCATCGAAATTCATCAGATAATTTATATCATTAATAATTATCATAGTTAACATTACGTTAATTATCGATGTATTATTTTCTCGGGTTTCCTTAAGCCATCGAGAATCGATTCACGAAATCATTATCAAAATAAAATTACGAAAATTACATTTTCCACCGAGATACACCGTCCGATTATCGATTCGACCATGGAAATACACCTTCCAACTGTACGATGATGTGCAGGTATGCCTGAATCTAATCCGATGCTTCGCATCATTGCTCCGCGCGTACCGCCACGAGTTAGATTTAAGAAAAAAAACGAACGCTCGTCGTTTCGTAATCGTCGTTTCTTTTGCCTCCTCCGTGCGATGCATAGAACCGCACAGCGGCAGGCAGCTTTGTCGTCCTGATATACCGGTGCACACGCGCGGCCACTAGGATTGCACATGCCGTATTTTTTTTTGTCTCAGCATCCGCACACATGTGCCGTATGCACGTGACGTGCTAGCTCAATCTTACGTAACCCTTGCCTTGCCGTCGCGGAACTCCAACATGAGTGTGTGTACGTGCTGCAGGAATATGCCAAGTATATATTCGCGTTTTGCATGACATATGTTTCGATATGTAACCGCGTTCAAGTCGTCGAAACGAAACAAAATTTATTGTTTCAAAACTCCGTTCTACTTGGCCTTGTCCCAATGACACGACATCCTCTCTCTATTCCGTAAAAATAGCTGCATATTTCATTTCATTCCGCCTAAAATTTACCAATATTACACATATTTTAAACATATATATCTATTAAATAATCCATAGATTATTCAATTTCCACGAGAGAAAAAGTTGAATAAAGTTTCTCGTATCAATGCATGTCAATAAGAGATCAATTATTATTTTTAGAAGCTTTCCGTATGCACGTTTTTCTGCCCCTGACATACTCATGACTCTGTCATTCTCCCACACACGATGTAATAGAGGTATTCGGCCGGATGACTCGGGCGAAAACAGAGAGATATATGCCTTTTTATTAATAGCGCGCTAGACTTAATGACTTTTTAACGAGCCTATCCAGCTACGAGCCATCCGGGCTTACTCGATCCAACCTGATATTCCACCGCAACGTCGATCAAACGCGGCGGTCGTGAAACGCAAAATGAATACAGCGAATACGCGCGCAGCTATTCACCAAACACACGAGAGAGATTTTTTCACAATTAAAGATTACTTTCCATTCACGGCAATCTTAACCCCGGCGAACAATGCCTTGGCATATGTACGCGGTAAGAATGTAAATTGTGAGATAAATCATGTGCCGACGTACATATGTGAAGTAATTATTAATTAGACAAAGCAATTCTTCGCAAAAATTCGTATGCGAAAAAAGTAAAAATTGAACGACCCTTTTCTATTATTGCTTTATTAGTACAACATTTATTTAATCAATTTATTCAACGCATAGACTGGTAACATTTTTTTTATAAGAGGTGAATTAATTATTAATTAGACGACAAAGCAATTATTCGCAAAATTTCGTGTGCGAAAAAAGTAAAAATTGAACGACCCTTTTCTATTATTGCTTTATTAGTACAACATTTATTTAATCACATTTATTTAATCAATTTATTCAATGCATAGACTGGTAATAACATTTTTTTTATAAGAGGTGAGAGAACGATATGTAAACAGGTTTTTTTTTATTGCAATTAGATGAGTCTCTTAATTTTTAATGAACTCATATGATGTTGCATTACTCTCGATGCAACCTTTCCTACCTCTTTAGCATCTTGCTTTTGACTTAGTTAATTAAAGTACTGTCCAGCTTTTGATTGACGTTCAAGGTGTAAAAAGTTGACGACATGAATATACGTATGTGCATATATCGCTTTAAAGCCTTGCGCAATGGAGGAATCACGAGTTGGCGAGGTGAATAATGGTAGGTCTCTTTATTAAACAATGCATTACGATTGTTCGATAAAGGTACCAAATAAAATGACTAACGGCAAAGAAATTGATTTATGCAATTATAGATCGAGCAAAAAAAGACTGACCGAGAAACCTGCCTCTCTCTCTCCCTCTCTCTCTCCCTCTCTCTCTCTCTCTCTTTCTCTCTTATATAGATTAACTATTCGAATGGAGAGAGACTTGCAAATAAGATATAAGAGATATTTGCAGCGTGTAATCAAACGTAACGCACCTGCCGACCAGTTGCGTCATATTGATGCAGATTTCACTTTCCACTCATTTTCCTAATACGCACAACAACGATGTACAATGATGCACCCAGGGCGGATCGAAAAGCCGAGACTAATCGGCAGGTACGGCACGGCGCTCTTGCATTATACATAAGAGCTAAGAAAGTAGAAGAATAAACCGCGGCTCTAGTTTTGCGAAACACGCGTCGTCACACTCCGCCGTGGCCTCTTCATTAAAATCACGGCACGAGCTACCAGAAGAAACGCCTCGACCGATACAGATACTACGCGCGTACCTACGAGATATACAGGGTGTCTCGGAAGCCTCGTCTTTGATTTTAACGACAGATTAATCTCGCATCAACATTCTCTCCGGAGTAAAGCAACCGGACGGATTTTAATAGGTACGTGATACGAGAACCGATTGCGCAAAAACGGTTAATGAAACCCATCGCATCTGCGTCGCGACTCGAGGCGTTCGGTGATTTCGAGGCGCACCCTGTACATGCGTGCTACATATCATCGCGAAAAATATGCCGCGGCAGCATCGACTGGACTTCCTCCGGCGAGCGTGCGCCCGGCGTGTCGGTGCAGATAAATCTCTTTCTAATTGCTCGTTGAAAAACTCACCGACAAAGGCCAGCAGTGCTAAAACCCGGTCCCGACGTGCTTTATTTCGCTCGACCGGCCGGCTCGACCGGCCGGTCGGGAAGAAGCGGATTCGCGCTCTCGTCGCGGTTTGTTTATTGATATTTACAGCTGACGTTGACAGGGCACGACGCGCATCGACGCTAAGGGATGCGCCTTCGTTCGCGAGGATAATATAGGGGCTCGTGTCTTTTTTCGAGTCGTCAGCGGCTTCTCTCTCTCTCGCGACATGTGGGATGCAGTTGCGCGTGTCGACGTAAAGCTCTAATTAATATCTTTTTTCCAGGTGTCGTCGAATATGTTGGGTCGCTCTCCTCTTTCTTCTCTCGATCATTGTACTTGAAGAAAAAGATCACGTATAATGATTGTATTTCACGTGCGGTGCAGCTAAGATAGGGTACATTTATCCGCCTTTTTCATCTTAATTATTTGCTATCTTTTTCTTTTTTAATATTGAAAATAATTCCAATAATTTCTCTAAATACTTTAATATTACTAATTAGAATTTAATATTGCATCAATTTTTCTAATGTATATTTATTGCTGCATCAATATGTTTATATTATGTTATATATGAATAAGTCTGTGTAATTTTATTTCAGTCCAGTCGAACCGATATTGAAACGCTTATGTGAAAACATAATTGTGCGAAATGTGTTTGGAATGATAATAATTATTTTCGCAAAGCGATACGATGACAAGTTCGATCTTGAATGATTTACTACTTGCATTTCATTATTAGCATTCTTTCTCTTAAATCTTTCGCATAATTTGCGTGCCGCACAAATGAAAAAAATGTGAAATTAATTATTTATATATATTGACAGGTTTTTATACTAAATATATTATATATAATTATACTAAATATAACACTCGAACAAAATCTGCAAATCTCTAATGTCAATTAATTAAATTTTGTCCTACATATATTTAATATCGGCAAACTATTTCATAAGAATTATTAACATGCTATTTAAAGTATCCTCAAACGGATGTGCGTAGCAATATTATTTCTATCTCCGCATAATTTTTAGGCTCTATTTAACTTCTATGCAATTATATCATTTAGTTTATACGAATAATTTACAAATTATATCATTCAGTTTATATGAATATTAATTTACAAATGATATCATTTAGTTTATACGAATTTTATTTTGTTACATCAAAGATCCGAGAAAGTTTTCGCGCAACCTACATAGAAAGAAGCCGCACACCGATGCTAAAGATAATTATAGAAATAAATCAAATCACACTGCGAGAGAGTGAGTTATAGAGCCGTCTGCTGGCAGCGGAGGCGAGGTGGTAATCAAAATCGCTTTTGCTCCAGCAAACGTTACAACAACGGGAGCGGAATCTACCAAAGGACTGCGTCGCGTCGCGCGGGTGAAAAGGAAGCGTAACCGAGGGAACGGACGGTCGAGGGATACGAATGCATCCTGACGCCGACGGGCACCGGCCACGGTGGCAAGCTGTCGTTATATCTCTCAGCCGGACTTAGACGCGCGCGTTACGTGGCCTCTCCGGCCGTCGG